CACACACACACACACACACACACACACACACACACGCGCGCACGCACGCACGCACGCACGCACGCACACACACACACACACACACACACACACACACACACACACACACACACACACACACATCTATCTATCTATCTATCTATCTAACTATCTGATACATGCCCAGTTGGGCAATGTATGTACAGCCAAGGATCCGCAATGTGATGAAGAGGACTGAATGGACAATGCAATGTTAGTGAAACATCAACAGGCAATGTACACCCTGCTACATACAAAATGGCACAAAATTGCGCTGTGGAAGACTTTGAGATATGTCCTGACCTGATCGGGACTGATGCGACACCCCATCACTCGTTACACATGTGAGAGAGGAGGAGGGACCACACACATAGAAGAAAGGTCCCTCCTTTGTACACACAATGGGGAGATACCGCAGATGAGAGATGGGGGGAGAGGAGAGACGAAGATGGAGGCGAGGGAGAAGACCAAGATCTCAATAGCGAAGTCCAAAAATAGTCCCTGGCCGAGGAGAGGGGACCTTCCAGGCCGCGTCACGCAAGGAGAGGGGACCTTCCTGGCCGCGTCACGCAGGATTCGGCAGGACCTTAAGTCGTAGAGCGTTGCCGCTCCGGCCGAGTGCGCCAGCCATACCTCTCGCGAACCCCTACAACAGGTAGGGTCACGCAAGGTACAACTTACCTCCGCCTGCGGGAGCTGTCACCATCCCTTAGGTGTGCGTATCCCCGTCAAGCTACCAGTCCACAGTACGAAAGTTTTTACATGCAATCGCAGAGGTGGACCAACCAAGGGCGTTTTCTCGTACGTTGTAGCATAGGGGTACGCGCGGTACCACGCCTCTATCAGACCCGTACGCAAGCCAACGCACTGGAGGGCTGAAGTCCCAAGCGCGACTCGTCGTCGGTCGACTAGGACGCATCCTTCTTACCACGCGTTACACCACGCCAAAACAAAAAGTCTGATCACTCACCCATAACCTTTTGACACAAAAATTGGTTAGACGTCGCGCGCGAGACTTAGGATAAGACCGTGCGGGCGCGGACTTTCTTATATCAACTAGTCATGCATGCATACGCAAGCGGTTGCAGTGATGGCGTAATATGTAGTACCCATAATCACGTGACCCTCGATGGTATCGGGGGTCACGTTCGACACACAAGTTTTGGCTGACATGCGACTTGAGGGGTTAATCTCTCGACTCTAGATAACCGTCAAGGCGGTTGATAACCACACCCTCTTCTGCACCCTGCGGAGAGTGGGTGGTACAAAGGTTCCGGTCTGTGATGGCAGTCAACCCTTATGGCCATGGGGACAAGCTCCATCATCCCGGGTATGGAGAAAAGTCAAGGGGTTTGACTTTGACGGCTGTCACGGACTTCAACGTCCAACTATAAAAATTAACAAGCAAAATCACTCAATAAATAAACAGGCATCCCAATATCCATATTAAATCAGAACTCGAGATAAAATAAAAGAGGGGAAGATACACCCATCAAGTATGCAGATCGTGCGACACATGATTGTCATTCTCACTGCCTCCAAAGTAAGGCTCGTACACAGGCTCCAAAATACTAACCTCCATAAACACATGCAAATATGAAAGTCACATTGCCATACACCAATGTGGTCAACTTTACTGTTCCCTGTAACTCCACACTCAAACCCCAACCATTGTCAAACTTTTCATAAAAACCCATCAATTCTTTATAATGGTCATTAAAAGAAGTCAGGTTAAAACCTTCAAAAAAACATATCAAATCTCAGGGCTAAGGCATCGAGCTGAGGTACAGGTGTAAGCAAAGTTGTGTCGTGAGCCGACGAGTCAGCGATCAACCAACCGACCTGTTATCAAAGATAACCGAAGACAATCCTCGTAAAACCGAGCTGAAATAGTCAGTTTTTGAATAAAAAACGGTCAAGAAGGACCTGTTATCAAAGATAACAAAAGACGATCCTCGTAGGACCGAGTTGAAATAGTCAGATCTTGAATCAAAAATGGCCAAGAAGCACCTGTTATACAACATAGGTCAAATCCCAAATACTTGAATTTTAAGTGTATGGCGAAGAAATCCCAATATCACATCTTACTTAAAAATCTCGTAAAACGAGATCTTAAATGTCTCTCTCCAATGGATCTCAAAGAATAAGGGAAATTCTGACAGCATCTCTCCTATACAGGGTGGATTGCCAAAAATTCTCCTACCAGAATATAATCTAACTCTTCAAAACTAGAAAAATTTCGGCAGCGCTTCCCGTAGGAAAACCGTCTTTTCAGAATTTATACGAGGCTAAATATAAAATTTTGAAATAACTTTTATTTCACGAAGTCAAATTTCGTCCAACTCCGTGATTTAGTAAAAATTTGGACAGCACCTCTCCTAAAAAAGTAGGCTTCCCAGATTTTAACTAAGCCAGATATAAACTAAGACAAAAGTTGAACTTTGAAAGTCAAAATTTGACTAACTCCTTGGTCTTGTAGAAATTTTGGCAGCGCTTCCCATAGGAAAAGTAGCTATCCAAAATTTATACAAAGCCAAGTAAAATAAAAGATCCCAGAAAATGCGAGAACTTGATCTAAGTAAAATAAACTTAACTCAGAAAATGCAGGAATTGAACTAACTCCTATAGCTCCAACACGTGGCGAGCACTAACAAACTACCCTATTAAGCAATAAAAATCTAGGTTACCAATGGTCCGGAGACCGGACGTCTCCACCGGACGTCTCCCCTGGACGTMTCYMCCMMCYKTCKTCCGGWTTTCCAGASGATGMCTTTTTGAMAAAAAAAAAAAAAAAAAAAAAAAAAAAAAAGACAGTGTTGCGCATGGCCTAGAGACCCCCCACAAAATTTCAGATTTTTCTGAGCATTTGTTGATAGGGTGGTATTTGGGGGGGGAGGGGGGGGTAGAAGGGGTTTTGGTAGGGATAGGACGGGTATAGATGGGGAATGAATCTTTAAAAAATTTTATTATTTATTCTACTGGCCCAAATGATCCAAAAATTTGGTGGCATACACCTAATGCAAGGTGGAAGCCACATGATTGTTTTTAATTTTTTTTTATTATTATTTATTTATTTTTTTCTTTTTTTTTGCGCTAGGTCGGACATGCCCTGTCCGGTCCGACGTCCGACCAGATGTCCGGTCGGACATCCCGGACGGTCAGGGGGGTCCCGGACGTCCAGCCCGGTAACCTAGATAAAAATAGACAAAACTTGATCACAAAAGCATTAATCTCGTATCTTACTTGGTTGATTTTTAACTTTCCAAGTTGTTCTCAGTCAAACCCCATGCAATCCGTAACACATTAACCTGGACTATTCTCACAAGCACAAAAGTCAGACCTTGTTATCGGATCAGTCAGGAGGACCTCATTTCCAGCCCCATTTCAATGTCTTAGGCAAACGAGCAGAGCGACCGGATCAGTCTGAAGGACCTCATCTCCAACCCCATTTCAATCTCTTAGGCAAACGAGCAAAGAAACCGGATCAGTTTGAAGGACCTCATCCCCAACCTCATTTCAATGTCTTAGGCAAACAGCAAAACCGGATCAGTCTGAAGGACCTCATCTTCAGCCCCATTTCAACGTCTTAGGCAAACGAGCAAAGCAACCGGATCAGTCTAAAGGACCTCATCTCCAGTCCCATTTCAATATCTTAGGCAAACGAGCAAAGCGACCGGATCAGTAAGGAGGACCTCATCCCCAACCCCATTTAAATGTCTTAAGCAAGCAGCAAAGCGACCGGATCAGTCTGAAGGACCTTATCTCCAGCCCCATTTCAATATCTTAGGCAAACGAGCTAAGTGACCAGATCAGTCAGGAGGACCTCATCTCCAACCCCATTTCAATGTCTTAAGCAAACAGCAAAGCGACTGGATCAGTCTGAAGGACCTCATCTTCAGCCCCATTTCAATGTCTTAGGCAAACGAGCAAAGCGACCGGATCAGTCAGGAGGACCCCATCTCCAGCCCCATTTCAATGTCTTAAGGAAACAACAAAGCGACTGGATAAGTCTGAAGGACCTCATCTCCAGCCCCATTCAAATCATCGCAAACAGGCATCGTGGATTTCATTTCAGACAGATAAATTTAGACAAACATAGTAAATTTCCTCTGATTCTGTTAAAGTCCTGAATTAAAGTTAAGGAAATATAGAAAAAGTCAAAACTCAGTCAAACTGAACGAGGGGCAGTATAGATAGGGGTATACGGGATCCTAAGGGAGATCGTGTCGGCCTACCTCAAAGTTCCCTGTCTCCGGGGTCCCGCCTGAACCCCGGCAGAGCTCCCGCAATCGGTGGGGCGAACCTCCCATAAAGGGCTTGGCACGGATTACAGGTTTCAATCCTGCCTGCCGCCTTCCTCTCTGAACCAATAGAGTAGACTGAGACTCAGAAAGGCAGAAGGAGAGAGGTTGAGTCACTTAGATACAAGAGAGGTGCGCTCAGACTCGCGTGAGAGGGCCTTGATTCCTTCACTCGCCTGAGGGCCCCACAATGGTGGCCAAGGATCGCAGTAGAATGGTCAAATCACAGCAAGATGCAGAACAACAGCACTTTGACGAGCCTCCAAGTTACAACGGTAACCCTCTTGCCCAATAACAAGCCTCCTATCACATTGAATCTCAGTAATGTTCAGCGACGTAGAATGCCTTGCTGCAATCGTGCATAGCAACAAAGCACCTCAACAGCAACCATCACTAAACTCAATACCGCTTTACAGTCACTCTTCCTCCGATCAGTAGCACTCACACCCAAGCATGGCTTCAATCAGCACCTTCAATTCCTTTCATCGCAACAACAGCGTGTTGGGCCGCCCAACAACACTCAACCGCCCAACAGCAGCATCCCGTCAGGCTCACGGACTGAAACAACAACAACGACTGTCTTACGAGGAAGACCGCCACTGAAGGCTCTGCAGTTTGGCAGTCTTTCAGTTCATCCTGCGTGGCCAGCTTGCCAAGTAGGTTCTTTTTCCGCAAGCCAGTTCTTGCGACAAGGTGCGAGCCGATGACACAATGCCTCACAGCCCGCCACATCCGCTCACTCGATTGGCTGCAAACAGCACCAGTGTACCGCAACAATGCCAACACTCAATCCAACTGGCACGACGCTGTACTGAAAGGTGCACAGTGCGATCATTACGAAGAATCTGAGCACAAGGATCACGACCACCTGGGCAGCAGCTCAACAATCAGCAGATTGGTGGCTCAATAGCAGCGATACAACACGGGTCCGGATCCGAAGTCCACGACATCAACTCGATGGCAGGCAATAGCCCAGCTTGTAGTCACCTGGCTAACAGAGGAGGCCACAACAACTAGAAGCACAGTAGCAATGCAGAAAACACAGAAGTAGCCAAAAACTCCGTGCAGCACCGATTCTCCTTTACCACAATAACCAGAAGCTACCAGTCACGTTTGTCTGAAAGCCCTGCAATGGCGCTTGAGCAACAACGTTGTCAGGCCCCAAAATCAACAGTAGTAGTTGTTTGTTGTTAAAGATAGAAACAACACCTCCCGGGGGCATAGCAGCAGAAGAAGCTGCTCCAAATCCCCAACCTGGTCACCAGTCGCAATACCTTAAATCCACAGTTCGTTGTAGCGGCCCAAAATAACAACAGTGCTGGATCGAGAATGCACAGTAGTAAGCCTCGGAAAGCAGCAACAACGGCTGCTGCCCTATGACTCAACAGCCAAGGCCAACACCATGGCCCACGAGGCAACTAGTAGCAGCCTTCTGCGCGGTCACAAATACAGTGTCACTCAAGTCAACAAGTACTCAGATAGGCACACATTCCATGAGTAAAACTCAGGAATCGGCCGTGTGTCTCAATCTGTGTTTTCCTCTGCCCTTCTCCTTTTCCTTTACTGCCGCTCCTATTGCATGACCGCTCCTGGCCATCCGAACGACCAGGTTCATGAACATGTTGAAGATCATAGTCCTCCCAAAGAGCAGCCAGGCTCCTAGGACTGCAGGTGATCTCCCCCTTCAAAGGTCAGTTCCAACGACATGGTGCAAGCATACCACGTAATCTGACTCAGCCTGCCACCTCCATTCACTCCATTGGCTGCAAACAGCTGCAACCAGCCTGGTCTCGCTCGATTGGCTGCAGACAGCCTTCTCCTGCTCAATTGCTTGCGGACAGCCTGCTCTCTCTCTCTCTCTCTCTCTCTCTCTCTCTCTCTCTCTCTCTCTCTCTCTCTCTCTCTCTCTCTCTCTCTCTCTCTCTCTCTCTTGCTCGCACGCTTACACATGCGCCTTTCCACCTCTTGCCCCGTGACCTCGACTACAGCCGGTACGTCGAGTTGCCTTCCCGTACCTTAGTCATGGTGGCGACTACAAGGAACGACGCCTCAATCGAGCCAATAATTGTGAGGAGTAGCCTCATTTTCATAAATCATACACCGATAGTGAGGGGCAGCCACGCCACTATCAGGAAAATT